AAAGAAGCGATTGGACGCTGAGGTCATTCTGTTTTAGGTAAGCCACAAAGTGAGTGCGATATAAGCTCTATAAACTTTCAGAGTATAGAGATAATCGAGATTGTCTGGATTGACGGGGTCTGCATGGCTGCCTTTTTTGGGATCAGGCTGCGTATTGGCCAGCGTCGAGGGTTTGGGCACTATTTCATTCCTAAAAGAAAGACTGAACAAGCGTGCCACACAATGAAGTTGACACAGGAGACAACTCAGGTGCACTAACTTTGTTCACATCTAAGACCACGCAAGTTTTAAGAATCTTCTTGTTAGTGATGGCAATTTTCGACATAGAGGTACCGTAAGGAACTGGTTAAGGTGGTACGTTGTTCTCACCATCTAGACGTCAATTACCGGCAAAAGAGTCGCTATCTTTCTCGCCAAGCCGCATGTGCTAGTGCGCCATCCGGGTTTACCTAATTTGTCTTGAGCGCTTTGACGAAAGACCAGAAAGCTCCACCACTGGATGTTCTAGCAGAAGGCATTGCCGTTAGTATATTTTGAATCGTATCACAAATTTCGTTAATTTATAACCTAATTTTTAAACTCTAGAAAGTATAACAGTTGACGGACTTTATATGACTTGCAGGTTCCCTTGCGATGTCTTTCTCCATTGCCGGGCACATGGTAAATTAGCACTTAAAATTTCAAATTAACGATTTCATTGATGACGGCGGGAATCTAACCCATATTGTTCACTCACTGTGAAATTACGACGAGCGTTATCCCCAACGCTACCAGAACTCCTTTAAATATACTGTATATATTTGTTAGACGTCGGTTTCAGTTTCTAAACGTGACGAAAAAATGAAGCAGTCGTCTATATACTAATAACCAAATCATACCTATCCCAACTCCCAAGGTCCGTAAACAAAGGCTTGCAACCGTCCCGCGAGATCGAAGACATCCCGCTTCTAGTGCCTCAGTGGATTCGTCCCGCGAAAGGTGTGCGGGACGCCAATTGGTCTGTTTTATTGTATACGACTAAATTTTGGGCAGAAGTATCTAGAAGTGTACCAGGGTCGTAGCTACCGCCGTATCAGCCGTATCGATGATTCGATGATACGTGACCCCCGGGCTACAGAGGCCCCGAACGTATGTAAGCAATAATTTTAAGGACTTCTATGGGACAGGATGTTGATTTGAATTGTTTGGCTAGCTTAGTTCCTAGGAGTATTCATCATCATCATTACAGCCTTTCACAAGTCCACTGCTGAACATAGGATATCCGCAGTAGAACCAGAGTAACCGACATGGCCCAACGGATTAGTAAGCTGAAGTGGCAGTGGGCCGGCCATATAGCTCGAAGAACCGACAACCGATGGGGAAGAAAGGTTCTCGAGTGGCAGCTTCGTACCAGTAGGCGAAGTGTAGGGCGACCCCCCACTAGATGAAGTGACGACCTAGTGAGACATGCAGGAAGTCGATGGATGCAGGTGGCTCAGGGCCGTGCTAGGAGTATTAATTGTACTTATAATCAATATATAATTATTTTAATTTAATGCGAGAGTTTTTGTTCCTTTTGTGAAAAATCTTTACCCATCATTCATAGCCAATCGGTAAATTGATTGACACAGAGCCCCTCTAAGGCACGCCTCCACTGAAGTGTACGCACTTTTTGTTTCACATAATATTCCAATGAAGACAAAAATTTTCACGTAATAGCTAAATTGTTTTTGAAGTGTTTTTATTTTTTATTAAAAGATTTTCTTCTACCTTTGAGTGCACTAACCAATATCACAAGCTCAAGGCAATTTAAAATTAGTAAGTAGTTAAAATAAAAACCTCATTCCCAGTTTTCCACCTTTAGGGGTGAAATTTTTTCTTCTCATTTACATAAAATCACCCTTAATAAAAAAGAAAAGTTTAAATCAGTTAAGGCCTCCTTCTTGATATTGGTTAAAAGCTATTTCAAAATAAGAAAGTAAAATCTTATTTCTGATAAAAAATTTCAGTGTATTCCCAGTAGTCTTATGAGAATTCTTATCTCAATAGTGTTATCCAATAGTTTTACATGTAAGATTACTGGAAATTTTCTCACCAAGTAGACCTAACTGTTAAGACCATCGAGGAAGAAAATTCTTAGTCGTCCCACTCGATAAAATAAATGGAATTCAATGAAAGTAACTTGAGTGACGTTTAGACTACTGGGAATACCCCAATTTTTCGCCATTAGATATTTTACAGATTTGTCCCGGTTTTTTTTTAGCCACGTCCCGTATTGTAATTACAATTTTTAAGCAAAAAATTGTATAAAAAAAAAGTAATCGTTTTTAGCGCATTACGGTTGATCGTACGGTGAGAATATACCCATACTGTGTTTTTTTTTTTTATAGTATAAGGGTGACAAACGAGCACACAGTCCACCCGATGGTAAGTGGTTGCTGTGGCCCATAGTCATCTACATCTATCTTCGTTTGCGAATTAACATGCAGATGCGTTATCAGCCTTGATGACTAATATAGAATGCCTTTTTTCCAGTAAAAAGGGTCTCAGGTTATCTACACTCACCATACGTAACACATCAGCATTAAGCTGGTATTCTGTGAGAGCGTGGTCCTTCCCCGGTCGAGCCGACCCATTCGTGCTACGACTATATCTATTAATATAGCTGCAGCATGGCTCTACCACGTAAAAGCTTTTTTAGCCACGTCCCGTATTGTGATTACGATGTACAATTTTTAACCGCAAAATTGTATGGAAAAAACGAATAGTTTTTAGCGCATTAGGGTTGATCGTACGGTGAGAATATACCCATGCTATGCTGTCATAATACAACCATGCAAGCCACTGGAAAACGTTTCGGTAAACTGTAATATATGTGAAACCGCTATAAGAGTCGCTGTCGCGTCGGTTACCGTAATGAGCGCGCCCCCGCCCGTTTGGCCAAGTTGACCATTTTGGAGTTGTTATGCGACCATTAATGCTAATAGACAACTATAAAAATTAATTAAGTCAACGATCAGTGATTGTGTAATTTCCATTATTTTTACTTACTTCTGGAATTCCAATGGTGTTTTTAATGATTGTTTAAACTTTTAGTTATTCAATCATTTCAAGCCATTTACAACCAAAAAACAGGGATTTATAGATTCACAAAAAAGTGTAATTTTAATTTGATATCAATACATAAATGAAAATAAATATGCTCACATACAAATTTAGAGGAACGCAAAATAAGTGTGTATAAAACAAAATATCACTGATATTTTGTGACAATTAAGTTTATTAATTTGGAATTTGCTTAGTGTTAGATAATTTAAAATTACAAACATCGGAAAAACCAAACGATTAAATGATAAAAAATTAACCAAATTAAGAAAAAAATAAAAATTTTACAGAAAAGAAACTTTTTTGTTCCTTATATTTTATTCATTTTTTTTTTCATAAATGCTTACGAAACTCTACAATCAGTACTTAACTGTTACTCCGTGGAGCTGTTGTAGCGCAGGGGCTTAGCGCTCGCGGTAAATTTCACGAACGAAATTACGCGGGCAACCCGGGTTCGATTCCCGCCGGCACCATTGAAATTGTTAATTGCAATTCTAAGTGCTGACTTACCACATGCTTGGCGGTGATGTTCAACATCGTTAGGAAACCTGTATGTCTGAGAAATAAAATAAAAATATATTTTTAAAGAAATGTGAAGTCCGCCAACACACATTGGGTCGGCGCGGCGAAAACTTCCTTGCCCTAAAACCCTCACACAAGTGAGAGGAGGCCTGTGCCCAACAGTGGGACGTATATATACAGGCTCTAACTTTACTTTACTTTTAAGTACCCTCTAGTAACACCCTCTAGCTCTGCGAACTGCTTCGGTTCTCCTTGGCATACTTCTAATCAAGTTATCAATAAAATCTTTAGATTGCGTTTCATTCCTCCTGTAAAGCGTTTTTAAGATCTCTCAAATAAGCAGCGGCAGGATATCTTTTCTTAATTTGTCTTCCAAGCTTATCCCATAAATGCTCTATGGGGTTTAAGACGTGCGAGCGCGCTTGACACCCCATATCATTGATTGATGAAATGTCTCCTCGTTCATGCGGAAGTAGTTGAAATATTTTTTGGAGTCCATTTTCAACTTTTAAAACCGCCCCGTTCACGAAAATTATATTCTGCACATCAACATAGTTGAAAATCGTAATTTTAAAGTTATAGCTTATAATATAGGAAGGAAAGGGACCGAATATGGAATACTTAAACAAATTTAAAAAAAAATCAATACAAGTTTTATTTTAATCAGGCTCATTGGTTACAATTAAATGTAGTCATTATCACTCTCTAAAAATAATATTTAAATCAATAAATCATAAACACTTTCCGTAATATTACTAACTAAAATAAATCAACAAAAAATATGCTTCTCAAAAATGTGACCCTATTATGGAATAGGATATTCCATAATAGGGTCACGTCTCCTTAATCAAAAGAAAGTAATAAAATTAACCCTAAACCCTTGGGTGTCTTCGATTGAACAATGCTAAGATCAGTCTCGTCGACGTTGTAAATCCTAGTTGGTGGAAATTTAAAAAGCCCAAATTCCTTTTCCAGTAAATCGAAGAAGAAGTTAACATTTTCTTTCGTGAAGCCTTTAACCCGAGCAAATGATGTACCAGTAGATTGGACCGGAGAAAGTTCTTTATGCCTCGAAAAAACCCCTTTTAACCATTTACGTCCAGCTGTTCTATTATTAAAAGGTTGTTTTAAATTGTTTCTACCGCCAACTGATATGCCATTCTCTTCACATCATTTCGTGTTAGCCCAAAATACCGCTTTTTTTTAATTTGCTTGACATGTTAAATGTCAGGCCCCAAAACTGTTTTACGACCAAGGCGGTAGTCTATATTTGGTTCGTATCATGACAGAACCGGAGGAGGGTAGTCCTAGGTACATTAAAAACCTGTGTAGCTTTCTTATAACCCATTTTTTTGGTTTTCACTTTTTTACTGGTGGAGTCATTTTGATCACAATTATATCTGTAAAAGAGAGAAATAGTAATCAGACACCATATTAAAAACTTGCTTTCGTTGAGGTTCTAATATATATATTAGAACCTCCCGCCATCATATTGTTCGTAATATAGAATACCGTTGAGGTCCTAATATGGAATAGTATTATAACTATTCCATATTAGGACCTCAACGGTATTCTATATTACGAACAATATGATGGCGGGAGGAAAATAAAAGTAACTTTTTAATATTTTTAAAAATTCGTAAAATAACAATACCATTTAAAAACTACATACTTTGTTCAGATACTTATCAACTTATTTTGAAATATTCATGTACGAACAATAAGAGAATATATACGTAAAACTTACCTAAATATCCGATTGATGTTGCGTCAACAGTGTTGCGCACTCTTATTTGCGTGTATTGACGCTAGTGTTGCCCAAAATCGATCTTGGTCTTGCAGTCTTGGTCTTGTTCTTGCATTTTTGCAAGACCAAGACCAAGAACAAGACCGCCTCTTTTTAGCAAGACCAAGACCAAGACTGACCGTGCAAGATTTGCGCAAGAACAAGACTAAGCTTGCGAGACTCTTGCGTCTTGCAGTTAGGACTAAGTGTCGTTTCAGGGAGTATAGGAGTTCGGGTATACGCTTAGGGACTCTATGAGACGCAAAAAAATATAATGAAAAAAAATTTGGAAAATTGGACTTATGCGCATTACGAACAATACCATAAACATACATAGCGAATGAAAATATCCATTAAAAGAAAAAAGAGTGCATCCCTAGTTTTGACCATCGGCACTTTGATAGTGCGCGGCGTCTTGTTGTCGGCGTCATCAAAGATCGGATACTGACCTGTCAAAGAAATTGTGCAGCTATTCGAAAGTACAAGGTCAAGATACACGTGCCGGCGGCTACTATTGATATCGCACAATCGTCGCCACCGCGCCACACGCACTACATTTGACACTGTTTGATTGCCGCCACAGAGTACATGTTTCAAAGACTAAAGTTTCCGGGTGCTCAGAATGAACACGAATACATTATCCTGATCTCGCAAGAAATATTGTAATTAGATAATAGGTAGGTATCATAAAAATTTATTCTAGTAAGTAATTATTATAAAGTTAACTATATGGATTTATAATAATTACTTACTATTATTAAGTGGCGAAGCTTGCGAAGTCACTTATTGATTTCACGATGTCTGTCCGTCTGTCCATCTGTCCGTCTGTCCGTCTTTCCCACGATTATCTCGAGAACGGTTTCGAATTTTCAAATTCTGTTTTCAGCAATCGATTACTGATCACCCAGGCATCTGAACCTCCTATTTTGAAACTGATTGCTCAACGGCAACCGTTAGAAACCGCTACAATTTCAAATTCTCAACAGACTGACACAGGGCATGTAGCATATCAATCGACAGGTCTTTAGAAAGATAAATGTTTGTTGGACTTATTAATGTGTTTTTTTAATTGATTAATTGCTATTTTTAAATAAAAAAGGGGTTTTAGTGTCTTATGGTGTGGATTTATCAAGACCCCAAGGATTGTAAACACGATAACTTTTGAAAATATCAATTTTTTAACTCAATCTATTTTTTAATCTCTTCATCTATCATGTGGGAAGCCACTGAATGTAAATGGCAGTGTAATTTTGTTTTGTTTAGCTATAATTAATTTTTTTCGGCTCCAAAATGGCGAAATTTTCGTTGATTTGGTAGCCTCGTATATAAATAGTTTCTGTAAATGGGGAGCTACAGCACTTTTACACAGACTTCGAACGCAAACAGTCATCCGATCCGTTTGTCTCAGTGCGATTACGTAAACTTTAAACTTGAAATCTGAAATTTGAAATTTTAAACTTTAAATTTTAAACTTTAATCTAGTTAACCCGGTATTCGAAACTGTTAATTCAGTGGAGAATTTCGTTAATTCATCGCGTCGCGTTAATCAAAAAATAGACTCGGGTTTTTAATAATTTAAATTCCTCTTTGCGTTCTAGGTGATTATAGACCGAATCTCGCTCCACCTAGAAGTAGGTTTAGGCTGGCTGCCGTCGAGTCAGGCTACCGTTAGGCTAGCCCTTCGGGGCCTCGCGCTTACATTCCTTCACAAGGTCGTGCGCCTTTTAAAACAGTTTTAATTTTATTTAATTCTTTAAACGATTTTAAGAGGGAAGTGATTAAAGGTGAAAATAGTCATTTCTACGCGGTTTTCTCGGATAAGTTTATACACAATCACCTTAGGGAGAATACAAACGGCGAGCACTTAGTAAAACTAAGTGACCGCCTAAATTTTGATATAATAGCCCCTCAGGAGGACACTAGCTATTCAATCAACAAACCAATATCGTAGTTTGTCCAAAATCAACTTAGCACTCTTCAGGAACGTAACCTTAACATTACGCTCCATAGAAGTAGTGCATGAGCTGACATCGGATCACCGCCCGGTCATAATGTCGTTAGGACAATCCAGCAGCGAGCTTCCTCTAACCAAAACTTTTACAGACTGGCATAGGTTCAAGGCTAACCTCGAAACTATGAACTCAGAATACTTAGACCAAGTGCCAGATGTAATTGACACCAAAGAGGTGGCCTTAGAAGCCATCTCTCACATCACCTCTCATATGAACGATTTGAAAAATTCAAGAAAATCAAAAACATGCGACTAAGCTGATTGCTTCGCCACTTTGCTATGCTATTAGCTTGCTAGGTTTATTGTTATTATTATTACCTAAAAGATAAACATGTTCAGTAAGTTCACTGCAAATCTCGACTTTTGCAAGTGTGTGTTTTTAAAACACAAAGTGCTCGAATATGTCGTCACACATTTGATAAATATGGTTGACACCATAGCACTTTTAAAACACTTGAAATGTGTAAAAATGGATCTGGATCTTGTCTTCAAGGCTTAGTTATTAAGGAGTTGGAGGGGTACCTAGGTAAACCCAGAGCCGTCATTTCGGAAGACATTTTAGACTGTTGGAGGACGCATGAGACAAAATATCCGATTTTATCGAAGATGGCCCGTGATTTTCTTTTAATACCTGCAACTTCAGTACCTGCTGAGAGATTATTTTCTAAAGCATCATTAGTAATTAGAAAACATAGAAATAGGTTAAGTGATGAGTCAGCCAGATGGTTACTTTGTATTAATGCTTTGTCAAAAGAATAAATATAAAGTAACAGTAATGTCAAAGCTGTTGTGTACAGACTGTGAAGTAATTTAATTTGCATCGTATTTTATATTTTATTTAAATAAATTGTATATTGTATAACTCTTTTATTTCATTTCATATATGGTGAGGGTCCATCAATCTCTTTCTAGAGAGATAATGTTATTTAAAATACAGTGTAGTTATTGCCATTAATTTGTTTTTATATGTATGTTTAACCATGTTTTAGCACATGTAAGCTTATTAAATGTAAACGTTTATTAAGAAACTGACGCCCGTGGCCGTGGGACACGGTAGATAGCTCAGTTGGTTAGAGCATCGGCACGGATCGCTTAGGTCGTAGGTTCAAACACCACCCGGTGTCAGTTGATTTTTCGAATTTCTCATTAAATGTTTAGACATTTATTAATATGGTTGGTCTTTACTATAGCTATTTTAATTCAAGCTCAATATGTACCTACTCTGTTAAGTTGTTCTAAGATCTAAAGTAACGTTTAATAAATAGTAATAGGCTAATAGATCATTGCGAGACTTGCGAGACTCTTGCTGCAAGACCAAGACCAAGACCAAGACTGGGAGCGCAATACCAAGACCAAGACCAGGTGTATTGGCGCAAGACAACACTAATTGCCGCCGAACGCCGCACGCACCCTGGCCGTCAAATGTGAGTAGCGGGAGGAGTAACATGGCACAATTTTGGAATATTCGTGGTGCTTAGTTTTAGAAATATTACGGTATTCTATATTAGGGACGTATTCCATAATTGGTACCTTTCCTCTAGCACCAATAAAGCAGAACGCACATTTTTCCGCACCATACGCATCGTATGCGCCGTACGCGCAGAGTTTTACTGATAGCCTCGCACATTTGCACGTACGCATCGTCCGCGCCGTACGTATATCTTTTGTATTACTAACAACTTTTGTAGTTTTTTCCAACCATAACACTGGTGTGAAACGGTACAGTGAAATAGATTGCTCGAAATCACTATGGAAATAAATATAGTAAAATAGCCTGCTTATTGGCAGAGGAAGAGGAAACTAAAATTCGAAGAAAAAGAAATTTCTGGATTCATAATATTAATTTAAAAAATCAATTGTATGGAGAATATGGAGGGAATATAATTTATTTAAAGACTTATTAGATGATGATGAACGATTTTTTAGATATTTGCATTTAACATACAAGACATTTCAAGAATTGCTACATATACTAAAAGAATATATTTCTATGGAAAACTCAATATTTAGAAGGCTAATTGAACCAGAGATTTTTTATTGATAATCTGGGGGCACGGCAGTCAAGTTCAGCCAAGTCGAGCAAAAGAGCGGCACGGCTGTACCATCCTTTTCTCGAAGCAGTTCAGGCCATTTTCGACACCCTATAACTTCGTTGTGGATAAAGCTAAAAGCTTGAATTGATTTAAATTTAGTAACCAAGCGTGCATTGTATAGACACGATATATGTTAAATTTCATTCAATTTGTAGCAGTAGTTTAGAATTGTAACTAGTCAAAGTTTCTTAATTTTGTCACTCACTGACTGACCGATCATCAAAACTCTAAGGCACTTCTAGAAGATGTTGAAGCTTCAAATTTACAATACAATTAGTGTTTAGTGTATAAATTAAGGAAAAATTAAAATATTTTGTAATTTCACTGCATAAATAACTTTGTAATCCTATATAAATGTATAGGATTACAAGGTTACATTGGCAGTGAATAAATCAGTGTACTTGTATATGTATAGTATAATGGAATAATAGATGTAGATAGGTAGGTACCTAGATATAATTATGTTCAAATGTAACTTGTTAAATGGTCAACAGAATGAAAAAGCAACAATGGCGCATGTCTTATGAAGTTGTACCAAAATCCCGCAATGTAATAAGTAGATTAAATTGCCCGAAAATCCGTAGTTGCTATTCAAGAAGTAGATGGTACCGGAAAGGAAAAAAAGTAGGACTATCTACAAAAAGAAATGAGATGCCATCAAAAACATAACTAGTAAAAAAAAACAAGTCTCGCAACTCAGTTCTTCTATCGTAAAAAGTTGTGAGATCCATGTAACACCAAGTCGGTTAATTTATTCAGTCCCTACTTAAGGGTCCTTCTGTCTCAAGTTATTACGTAATTTGCTAACCTAACAACATCTTATAGTGATCATATTAATATTAAAAATCTTTTATGTTTTAAATACGTAGATTGACTTGGCAATCGCACTAAACTATTAATAATCTATTTTAATATAATATGTATTACTTGCGAGATACATTATGTTTTCATGCGATGGCCAAGTCAATCTATTTATTTAAAACATAAAAGATTTTTAATATTCATATGGTCACTATAAGATGATGTTAGGTTAGCTAATTACGTAATAACTTTAGACACAAGGACCCTTAAGTAGGGACTGAATAAATTAACCGACTTGGTTTTATTTACAAGTTACGTTTTTGATGGCATTAAGTAATCAGGTAAAATTGGGTTTTAGAATTAAATGTAACTATTTTTTTTTTCAGTACTTATTTAAATAATTTATCACTAAGTATTCATATTAATAATCGATGCAAAAAGAAAATCAAATTATGTATAATTAATTACGAATTAATTAAAAGTTATAAAAATACAAAATTATCACGTGTCGAAACCACCAGTTATAATGGAAAATCCACTAAGTTGGCAACATTAGACAACACTGAGTATCAGCACGCGCCGAACGCGTCGCGTTATATGACGTCATCAGCATACATCCTTCAATATTCGGATACCTAGGGAGCGCATTTTATAAAAGTCGGCGGGTAAGGTACGGGTGTAAGGTTTTATATGATTTTATACAACGAATTCTAAAATTCGGCGCGTACGACGCGGACAAATGTGCGTTCAGCTTAATATAGAAATAGCACCTTATGTAATAAAAATAATAACGTATGGCTAAATAAAAAGTATAAAGTAATTTTATGCTCCACAATTGAAAATGTAACCATACTTGCAATTTAATGTCTATTACATTAATTTGCATTTTTTATCATTGTATTATGATTTAAAAAACTTACTGATTTTTTTTCCAATTTATCAATTCCAGATAAATTTAAACTGTTTGCTGCTTTAATAAATATGTCTAACTTATGACTTGGTATTTCAACCTCTCCAGTATAAATATATTCCAATATAAAACAAAGTATTTCATAGCTTACATTCTGGAAAATATGTATTATATTTATAAATGAACAAAGTAAAAAATGGTAATTTTATTTCAATACAATTACCGAATGAAACTGCTTACATTCAATATAATTACAGGATGTTGACCAGGTAATGATTTCAGCATTTCTTTAATGTAGGGACTGCACAATGCAACTAAACTCTGGTGAACCTTGACAAAGTGACCTTCAGCGGCAAATGTCATATCTACAAATTCTTGTTTCTGAAAGATATTAAAACGCAAAGTATTTAATAATACAATACATATTCATATAAATGAACAGTTGTGAAAAGCATCTAAGTCATGCATTTGAAACTAATTTATTGTCCAATTATATTGCCATCATCATTATCATTACACCTATTCACAGCAGCAGAGTTGAATATAGGTCTCCCCAAAGGTATCCACAATGTAATAATAATAAATATTGTAAATATTAGCTTTTGCCCGCGACTTCGACCGCGTATATATTATACTTTAAGCCTTAGGCGATCCATCAATAATCGCACTTTCATAGTAAATTCCATCACCCTCTTTAGGGATGATTTCCGTGATCAAAGCTATCCTATTTACTTCCCCGGGACTTAAACTATCTCGATACCAAGTTTCATCTCAATAGGTTCAGCGGTTTAAGCGTGAAGAGGTACATTTACTCACGCGGTGGTGAGCGATGTTTTCCCCACCACGCCAGCAGTACTCCCGACTAGACATGGGACGAGTACTCGGTTTGGATTCGGTACTCGGCGGATTCGGCCGTTTTTTAGGGTTCGGCCGAGCACCGAGTATTAACGGCCGAGTACAGAATACTTGGCCTTAATTATATCCCAGAGAAAAATAGACAAAAAGCCAGTTTTCATCATTATTATTATACTTTTTTATCATTATTATCAGACACATTAAAACAGCAGAAATATTTAGAACTTACATAAGAATCTATAATACACATTATTATTACTCAAATTTAATTTTAAGAGAGCAAGATTGTGATGCAAAAACGCTAGTTTTTCGGTTTATAGTTTGTAAGGGAAATAACCGCACGCCGCCCGCTACCGCGTTTTTTTTAAAGCCGAGTATTCGGCAGAGTACTCGGCCCAATCTAGGCACCAGTGTGACCATATGTGGCAGGTTCCTGCCATTTCGGCAGGATTGGCCTATTATTTTAGCCTGTGGCATGATCGGTTGACGTTTTATAAAACCTGGCAGTATTTGGCAGAATTGGGGCATTAAAAATATATTTCATTATGGCACCTTAAAATGACGAAAATGGCAACCCTAGATACTTCGCCAGCATGTTGGAGATTTCCTTGTATTTCTCGATCAAAAAAAGATGCTAAAGATGATCCAGACTGTGCAACTGCAAATTGGCACCCCGTGTGCGTGCTTAAAGGAGCATGCCGCTACTAGTAAACATCAAAAAATATGAGTGGATTCAACATGAGAAAGAATATTCTCTCAAATAAATTAATTAAGACAAAACATAAAACAGATTTATAAACAAACATTTAGCGTCTATCTTGTACTTTAAACAAGGCATTGGTGAGCATGGCGATTGCATTGCTTTCGAACCAACGAAAGATATGTTTAATATTAATTTAAAAGAATATAACATTTATATGTGTATTTTGACTTTTCTTAGTTTAATACAATGGTAAAATTGGCAGTATTTAGGCATTTTTCACTACAGATTTTGGCAGGTTTTTAACCAAAGTATGGCAGGATCTGTATTTTAAAGATGATCACACTGCACTACTCGTTCCATGTCTACTCCCGACCGCCATGCGCGGTGCGCGCGCCGAAGCGCACAATTTTATATCACTGTTACTTTTAAAATATTTGACCAAATTACATAGTTAAAAAAACAAATTTCATCTACTTTGAACATCAGAAGCAATTAAAGTATTTATTTTGATAAAAAATCAAATTTTATTATATTTATGGTTCACTATTTTGGTAATAATGGCTTACACATAAAAGATAGATATATACTGTCGTGGACTTTTTTGTAACTATTTAGGAGAAACAATTCCACCACACATTATATTTATGTAACTCTTACAGTTTTCACACCGCACGCCAAAATAACTCGCGGATGACAGATTTTTGCTGACTTACTTAACACTTCTCGTTATATTTTGACCAATTTACACAATATCTTTATTAATTATAGCCAATGTGTTGTTCTGATGTATGAGCCATATTATTGTAGTTTCATTAAAATACATTCAGTAGTTTTTGTGTACAAGTGTAACAAACATCCATACATCCTCACAAACTTTCTAATAAATAATATTATAAGTAGAATTTATTTTTGCAATTCTTCATTAAGTATTGTAAATTATTAGAAATTTGACTGCAGACATATATTAAAGATGTTTAGGTCACATTGTGCTTGATTTTTCACTGTATCTCTTGAGTTACCAACGTAAAACAAGCTGGAATTGTCAGCATATGAAGCGATATCTCCCTTAAGCCAATCTCACATATATCATTCATGAAAATCAAAACAGCAAAGGGACTAGAATGAATCCTTGAGGAACCCCACAGGTAATTAATTTAATCTCGCTATGCTGGTCATATTTTTTTATAATTTGGCACCTATTTGTAATACATATATGATTTAAATGTAACATATGCTGTTTCTGTTATACCCAAATCCCTTAGTATTATTAAAAGTATATCAAGGTTGATGGGGTTGAATGCTTTTTTTAGGTCGATAGAGTAACTTTTCCTGGTCAATATTATACCTTATATTTATAACAAGACCAACAGTGACAGTAAATGTATTAGATTTTGACAGAAAACCACATTATTTGTTACAAAGAAAATTAATGGAAGTAGTTATTAAGATGGTTATGTAGTATCTTTTCAAATATTTAATAATGGTATTATCAAAAAAGATCAATAATTACTGTGATTCAGTTTCTTGATCCATTTTGTTTGACTACACCGACCATAAAAATGTGTTATCACCCTGAGTCTAAGATGGTCTGACAAACTGTTATTATAACTATGAACCTGATGTTATACAGGATCAGGACTCGTGTTCACAACTCCACAACTAAAACAGTACTTTATCTCATGCCTGTCACCCAAGGTGTAGGTAGACTACAGACTTCTCTCTCTCCTCTTTCACATCCATAAACGCATGCTCATTGATTAAGGGTGTTTCTTAAGTTGGCCCATGTTCAATATATCACCAATTTGATCAATAAACTTCCATCTAGAGCATCCCTTGTGGAATCTGCCACTCACCTCTGCAGCAAAAAATTGCATTGACACTCTTTCCTAATTCATTATTTTTACAGTCCAAACCATGGAATCCATCCTTTCCTAATCCCCATCATAACATCTTGTGAACCATAATTCTTAATAACCACATTTCTACAACATGAATTCTCACATGCTTCTTTTGCCACAACCAACTTTTATTAAAATAGATTATGGTAGATACTAACACATTGTGAATTGATATATTGCTTATTTTACACATTCTGACTTCTCACATTAGAGTAAAAAGCCCCATTTACTCAGTGTCCTGCATTCAATCTTCATTTTTAATCTTTTTCATATCTACTTCTTCATATCCTTGCTAAACACACATCCTAAACATACAAACTTACCCACTTCCCAACAAACCACAACTACAAACAAAAACAACTCCCCTCCTATTCTCATTTAACATATTGTTTCACTTTCTTCCCTTTCCAATACTATCCCTTTACTAGTGTTCAATTTCATTCAACTTTTTTTTAATGATATGTATATTAATGTACCTAACCATGTTTGCAACTCAACTTACTATGATGTAAAAATGACTTGATCATTGACATAAAGACAGTTTTGATGTTTAATTTACTTACTCTTGACCAATGTAGGTTCAGCTTTCTTCAACTTTTAAAGGTGCTCAACCCAAATAAAGCCAACTTTTGCCTTCGAGCCATTTTGACCATTCTGTCATAATCCTTTTCCAAATCTAAAAATGCACAGAAAACTTTCTGGTTTTTGGCCAAAATCTCCTCTGTGCATAGAACAGATCTGAACCCTACACCCCATTTCCAACCTTTTTATAGATTAGGTCTAGTCAGTTCCTTATAACTCTTTCAATCACCACTAGATCATACAATTTACCCACAATGTCAAGGTTGATTCCAGGGTAGTTATTGCAGTGCTGCTACGACTCTTCTTCCATAAACAGTAGGACTTAACGCGTTTGCACTGGTCTCCCGGTACTCGTTTAATTTCCCAGCAAAAATTAAAGGATGTGTACAACACGCCTTAATTATAAGGTATATATTTAGTTACCTGTTGCAGTAGTGAGAAACCACAAAAAATATTATTTTTGTAAGTATCGCAGGTTACTCGGAACTGCGAAACAGACATTTTTATACTAAAATTTCGTAGTTTTTGCGACCTGAAAATAATGGACTACTATCCTATAGAAAGATAAGAAATTATTATATGATCTTTTTATTATTTTGTCACTTAATTTTATAAGACTTTTTTTTACAAACAAGTAATATTTACTAACTAATGGTCAGTACTCAGAATCAGAACCATTCTTAGAACTAGACGTGGGCGTTATTTCACGTCACTAGTTACAATAACTGGCTACGCGGCATGTAACCGAATCACTAGTTTCGAGTCACATTACAAGTAGTGATTTTTGTAAATGCGTAATTACTGTTAACTGTGATTGTTGCGAGAGTCGACTGTCGGTCGGTCAAGCGCAAAGTGCACAACATGTGGCATACAACAATATACAAAACAGCGTATGTAACAGTATTATTATACGTTTAATTTTCATACGTAAGACTATAGATATAGACAATATAAATAGAGTGATCTTTGTTTTGTAAATAATTTCAACGGTTTGCGATTCCGGGAAGCGATAGTCACATTGAATTTAAGTAAAATAATTTAGTTTGTTTTAGTTCATCGTTGTACTTGTTTATAATTTTGAATACTATCTTGTAAAAATTTTACATTTATTTACATTGTGTTTTATATACATTTCCTGTAACGTTTCTTTGTTATTATATTATATAAATATAATTAGTGTGGATTGTACAAGTTTAAATTAACTGTGAATATCAATAATCATTGTATATACAATCAAATTGACTTGTAAATACCCCTGCATTAATAATTTTATGAAAATCTTAGTTTCATAGTAAATACAAAACAATCATAAATACATTTAATGCAGTCAGTTCTAAGCCTGAATAAAGTATGAAGGGAAGTTAATTTATTGATTTAACTGTATAGCTAGAAACACTTAAGATAGTAATTAAATTTATTTTCGTTTCGTGTGTAACTGTATAGTTCTTGGTGGTATTTATGCAAACAATCACCGTAGCCAAATAAAAATAGCCAGTTACAAAAATCACTAGTTTTGAAACAGGTGACGCAGACCAAGTCACTGGTTTCGTTACGTTTCTTGAAAATGACGTAACGACCCACGTCTACTTAGAACATAGATTACTAATCAAATCAAAACAAACATAGTGATGGGTCAACTTAACTCGATTTACTAGTTCGAGCTAACTCGAATCGGGTACTCACTAACTCTAGTTCGGCCTGGCGATAATTGAATTATTTAAAATTAAAATTTTATTTCAATCCTACCTACTAAGTTTAATAATGATAATTGTCCCAATACATTATTTTGCTAGCATCGTATTAGTCTGTGCCCAACACGGAGTTAGATGGAAGAACAAATATATGAATAATTTGTAACAAATTAGTCAGCTTCGTCAAGGTTCGTTCTGTCAATTCGCGCTGCGTAACTCAAATTACATTCAAGTTCTGCTAATTTCAACTCGAGTAAACCACAGTTCCTTACGAGTTGGCACATCTCTAAAACTGAATACACATCTAATTTTTTATTAAGATTTTTGGCTTGAATGCTTGTTCTTCAAGCCACGTCTTTATTTATCTTATGGAGTGTAGAGTACAAGGAGAACCATCTTATAAGGGGCGAAAGTTGAAAAAGTGTCCTACTATTTACTGAAAATAGAAGTTCCCAAACCTACCACAGTAGCGCTGGCGTCTGAAAAACTACGATATGAATATAGCTGTTGTAGACGGAGTGAAGTCAGCTGAATTCAAATATTTGAAAAAATTTCGTGACTAGAGTAGTTAATAAAATGCCAGTATACAAAACCTCAACTATTTACGTAGTACAAAACCAAGCGGATTGGTCGGTCCTTGTTTATTTCTCCATCATATTCTAATTAATTTTGGCGCTTTTTTTAATGTATCCTATGCTACTGCAGCGCCACCGTTATTGGACGGCTTTTTAGGGACACTTTTCTTATAATATAGAGATGGTCCTCCTTTTTTCTACACTCCATAATTTATCTCAGTATCAAGCACAGATTATGTGCGTGCACCATATACCTATCTCTCTTGTCTCGTTTTGACTCTGTTAGGATATCGTAATTAAAATAAACCTTAATATCAACTAATAAGATTTATTTTCGTATCACACGGTTTTTGAATACGATTCCGAGTATTCAATCCTGTTTGTATAATACGTCCATGAACCACAGAATATATGTACCCCGACGGGTTTGTCCATGAACAGTCCATGCATAAACCAAACTGTGACATACGGCAACTCAATTACGATGGCAGAGTTTTGGCGGGAAATTGACCGGCGGCGGTTTGCTGCTCCTGTATTATTGTTTAAATAATGGTTTGAAGTGGACTTTGATATGTAAAAGTGTTGCGATTTTGTGTATTAAGTGTCTACGCATGTGAACCATTAGTGGAAACAGTGAAACAAGTGCTCTGATGGTGATGGATTCTCAAGATAAGCTGTTTGTTTGCATAGGCACCTTTAGATACCATCGCCAACTATCAGCTGTCTGCTGGATCAAGTTGCCGCCAAAATCTCCCAAGAACTGCACAATGTGACGCATCAACATATTGTGAAGCAGTATACTATGAAGGAGTGGGGAAATTACAATAAACCGAATAAAAATATTTAAGACTTGGCCTAAAGGTCTAGATACCAGGCCATAAACTCCAAAAAAAAAAAAAATTACGATGGCAGCACTGTCTCTGACAGTGACATTTGGTGACATTCATCACACATCACACATTTGACAAACTAACAATAAATGTTTATGAAACAAAAATTTAATAAATTACTAATTATCATGAAGAAGAAATACCCACTGTCGTAAACATATTAAACTGCAAACGTTGTGATATTAATTAAACTCTGAAACTGAAAGAATTTAGTGTGTGACCACAGGTGTTGACCTTAGGTTATACCAAAGATTATCTACAAAATATTGTCGAAATTTACGCGTTTCTTTTGTCGTTAAATACTTTCTTAATATAATTAAGTGTTTTTCGAAACTACTGTGAACTGAAGTTTTAACTGCTGTCAACGCAAAGCATAATATAGGTATATGAAAAAGTAGATGTATCTGCCTCTTTACAATGTATCAGAAAAGAGATGTCTGGTTAGAATTCCTGTGTCCAAACTTGGATTTCTTACAGTATTACTACCGTTACTTGCCTTCATTATTTGCATCATAATGACTATGTATAAAGACTTTGAAAGAGCTAATAATACACATTGCAATGTGCCTAATGTATTTCCATCAATATCAGCATCTATTGGAAATTATGAGCCACAAAATAGCATTTGGAAAACTGCTATTTACGTCCATTTCCCATTAAGATGTTTTATTATTTATTTACGATGGAAATATTACCAAGAAATTATTTTAGAAAATTGTATCATAATTGTAAATTTAGCAATATTATTGAATATTGCAGAAAATTTGTCACTATTAGGGTTGACATATTGGACATCTTCATATAATTATCGTAAGTATTTTGTATTTATTTAATATTTAGGGCAGATTTTATAAAGTAAGATAAATACTTTATACATATTGTGATGTACTTACTACTACTTACTTACTCATAAACACTTCTGTACATATTGGGTATTAATTTGAATTTTTAAATTATAAAATAGGGTGGTAATTGTGTTTAATTCATTTATGAATTAATTTTTTTATTACCAAGTATTTAACAGGCTACTAAGTTGTTGGTCGATGTGCCTATATGTATGTTAGAATATAGTTAATTGTTTTAATTATAACTTGTACATTCTTTGTACTATGTTGCACATTACATGTGTGTATTATAGCTATGGCACTTTTCATGGACTGCTTTTTTTTTCTTTAAAATTCTCCAATCTTGACCAATCTATATTCAAAGCTGTTTAATGAAGAAGCGTCAACAATGTCCTGAGGCTGCTCGTCCACAAACAAAGCACATGGTTATTTAGACAGTGGTACATAAATACAAAAGACTATGGGCAGCTGTACACATCATCGTTGGAGCCACACGCAAGTGTGAGTAACGATCCAAGAGCGAGTCTCATCCGACACTATTCCGAAGATATCCCGGATGTCAGTCTGAGCGAGATTAGGATGGCTCTCCAGCACCTTAAAAACGGTAAGGCCCCAGGCGAGGATGGAATTACAGCGGAGCTTCTGAAAGCGGGTGGAAGACCGGTACTTGAAGTCCTTCAGAAGCTCTTTAATTCCGTCCTCCATGGTGGCATTACACCGGAGGCGTGGAGCAGAAGTGCGGTGGTCTTGTTCTTCAAGAAAGGTGACAACGCTCTCTTGAAGAACTACAGACCGATTTCCCTTCTGAGCCGCGTCTACGTGCTGTTTTCGAGAGTCATTACGAATCGTCTCGCGCGCAGACTTGACGACTTCCAGCCTCCCGAACAAGCCGGTTTCCGAAAGGGCTTTAGCACCATAGACCACATACATACCCTTCGGCAAGTTGTACAGAAGTCCGAAGAGTATAATTTGCCACTATGTCTGGCGTATGTGGACTATGAGAAAGCCTTTGATTCCGTCGAAATTTGGGCGGTGCTGCAGTCCCTTCAGCGGTGCCAAGTTGACTGTCGGTATATCGAAGTGTTGAAGTGCTTGTACAGTAGGGCTACGATGGCTATCCGAGTACAGAACCAGAGTACGAAACCTATCCAATTGCAGAGAGGTGTAAGACAGGGTGACGTCATATCCCCGAAACTCTTCACCGCTGCATTGGAAGACGTTTTCAAGCTTCTGGACTGGAAAGGATACGGTATCAACATCAATGGCGAGTACATCACTCACCTTCGATTTGCCGACGATATAGTCCTTATGGCAGAATCGCTGGAGGACATAAGCACTATGCTCAATGACCTCAATAGTGTTTCCCAACGGATAGGTCTTAAGATGAACATGGACAAAACTAAGATCATGTTTAATGTCCATGTCACACCTATGCCGATAGTTGTTGGGAACACTAAGCTCGAAGTTGTTGACGAGTATGTTTACCTGGGACAAATAGTCCGACTGGGTAAGTCCAACTTCGACCGAGAGGTCAATCGACGGATTCAACTCGGCTGGGCAGCGTTCGGGAAGCTACGACACATCTTCTCGTCAGACATACCTCAAAACCTTAAAACGAAATTGTACAACCAGTGCGTGTTGCCAGTGATGACTTACGGAACTGAGACGTGGTCCTTCACTGCTGGCCGTATGAGGAAGCTCAAGGTCGCTCAGCGAGCTATGGAGAGGGCTATGCTCGGAGTTTCTCTGCGTGATAAACTTAGGAATGAGGATATCCGCAGTAGAACCAGAGTGACCGACATAGCCCAACGGATTAGTAAGCTGAAGTGGCAGTGGGCCGGCCATATAGCTCGAAGAACCGACAACCGATGGGGAAGAAAGGTTCTCGAGTGGCAGCCTCGTACCGGTAGGCGAAGTGTAGGGCGTCCCCCCACGAGATGGAGTGACGACCTGTTAAGACATGCAGGAAGTCGATGGATGCAGGTGGCTCAGGACCGTGTTTTGTGGCATTCTTTGGGGGAGGCCTATGTTCAGCAGTGGACTTGTGAAGGGCTGTAATGATGATGATGATGATGACATAACATTGGTGCTTGAAGGGATATATCTCAGGATCAAGTGATTCATGACCTGTGCATGTGGTAGTGGGTGAAGATTAAATATTTTTAGTAGGTCAGGACAATCATATTTTTAAGTCACAATAAAATTGCTTTTTATATTAATTAACCCAGATGAAGACATTCTTATAGCATTCTCAATTCATTTTTAATATTTCCCATCTCTTATGTTTTTCCAGGTAGTGTTAAAGCTGATATTTTGGCTCTGCTCTGTACAATCTTAGGCCAGTCAAATATGCAGATATCTTAAAAATACACTTGTATTTTTATGATATCTGGGTATTTGACACTATTATAAATTAAAATAATTATGTAGAAGTGATTAAACAAATATTGTTATAGAAGTTTTATGAGAAATGAGAATATAGTCATATTGAATCATTACAAGACATATTGAAGTCTATAAATCTAATTTGCATAGTTTTGCTAAAATCCATAGTAGCTCAGGAGCTCTACATAAATTTCACAGTACATGAGGGTTCGATTTCAATTCCAAAAGACATGTCAAGTCCTCCAACATGCATTGGGTAGTACAGTAGATACTTCTTTGGGGTTAGCTTTAGTGTCTAGCAGCATGATTTTGCTGGTGATTTTGGTTTTAATCTATGGAAAATAAAGCTCTGATGTGTGTAGTTTTGAGGTGGGTTATAAACGAAGAACATATTTATTGTTTACAGAAAAATCCATGAATTATGATAGAAAGAGATAGAGTTCAGATGTAGCCATGGTAGCACTTGTCTCTTTCTAAAATGTAATCAGGTGAATTTATTGAAAAGTGGAGATTATAAATATTCTAAGAAAATAGGTTATGCCATTTTCACTTGTGATTTTGGTATATAATTATTTTATGTAATTGTTAAATTATTTCCACTTATATTAATAACTAAAACTAGGTGTAATAAAGTCCGAATTATAATAAAAATAACTATAACTTCTGTTAACTTTGTCAAAAATACAAAAGCACCTCTCATGTAATATCAGCAACAGTAGTTTGATGTGTGGCTGGCATTTCAATCAGTAACTTTCCACAGTTGGGGTGAAAGTGCATGGGCAAGACACCCCATTCCTCTCTATCAAGTTACCATTCACCCACCTTCTCTTGTCACAGAATACTAAAGAAACATGAAATATGCATAATATGCTCTTTCTTGTTTTTGGACAAGAAAGGGCATATAGCCTCTCAGAAATGAGTGACCTGTGCACAGCCGTGAGATGTATTATAGAATGTTACTATACAATCAACAAATTTTTAAGGAGCTAGTTCAAGTGATAATTTTATACTAATTCAAATTATATGATGTAGGTAGAATTTATTTGTAACGGTATCAACTAAGTGAACTACTAATTGAAGTGTAATAATTTGTTTTATTACAGCATATCATGAAATATTCTTCAAAACATTTATTGGAACATCAATATTTTATATGCTACTAACATGCATATTGTTAACCCAGTACCGTAGAAAGCCTCACATGTCACATTTGGAGAGGAACTCTGTCAAGTTAAAATGGCGAGCATTTTTTATTAATGTTGTTTCATTTGCACTTGCAGCTTATTTCTTCTTAAGGCACAACAGCCTTTGTGAGCCATATGGTAAGCAAAATATAAAAATCAAAATATTATATATATATATATATATATATATATATATATATATATATATATATATATATATATATATATATATATATATATATATATATATATATAGGGTGAGTGGGGGAAGATGAAAAACGGGGTAACACAAAAAGGCATCAATAAAGATAGATTTTGTGTAATTTATTCAATGCAGGCAACATTCATAAGACCGCCATTTTGTTACGTACCACACCTAAGTCGGCACTTGTCGTTTTGAGGGATCGGTTGTGTTTTATAAGGGAATATCTACACTGTGAATTTTACGCGAGCAAGTTGGGTGTTTTAATCTTACCCCGTGTCGTGTAACTTGATTTACGAGGTAGGTACGAGTTATTTATTTGTATACATACTTATTATTTTTAATTGGTAGTTATGTTGCTATGTCTAAATATCGCTACTGTTTGGATTTTAGGATTTATTGTAACATTCCGTCTTTACCCGCCAATATTTGACGGGGTAAGATAAACATATAAAAGTTTCCATCTTGCGCCGTTTTCAAAAGTCATACAAATGGTCTTGTTCTCAAACTGTACCTGAAAAATATTTTGTTTTGTTACAGCCATCATATAAATTTTCAGCGGCACAATTTCAGCTGATATTATCTAAAGGTATTAATTTTAAATTTTTGTATATTATAAGAGAGGCAAAAAGAGCAAGCGGGTCACCTGATGGCTAAGTGATTTCACCGCTGCCCATAGACACAAGAAACAACAGGAGTGTTACTTGTGCGTTGCCTTCTCATAAGGTATAGGAACAGGATTCGTAGGAATGGGAGTAGGAACTTAAAGAAAGGGGAAAGACCACCAGACACTCATTAGTAGTAAATGTAACATCACAGCTCCTAGAACAATGCAACGTCACATCGGTTTATCTAGCAAACGTCAACATTCGGGTGGCCTTAAGAAAAGGGGAAAAGGAACGGGCATCCGGAACTCTCACTCACCAGACGAAACATTGCAGCCACTAAGAAGCTAACCACTTCACGCTGATTTTCTGTGAGAGGGTAGTATCGCACCGGTCCACCCTGCTCATTTATTTGTTACAGTGAACTGTAGACGTGGATCTACTACCAATTTTTTTTATTAATGTTTAGATATAATTTTTTTTGAAGTTTTTCTATGTTTTTAGTTGTGGCATTTTTCTAAGATCTTATAAATTGGTTAGCTGTTTAATTTTGAAATATTTAATTTTTTACGTTTTGTGCTACATATTTTGTTGACGAAAATAGTAAAAGGTACATGTACGTAATTATGCTTAAAATTATCTTGGCATTAACAATACAATTTTTTATATGATTGATATCTTTCATTTTCTGTATAATCTTATCCAAGTAAAGTGAAAAGTTTAAGAACCTCTAGTTAAATTTTTCCCCGGCGGGTCAAGATTGAAATATAAAAAACAAATAAGTTGTATTATCTGTGTTATTTGAAGGTAATTTGATATTATAGACAGTTCTGAAGTGTCAAGACAATTAAAATTGTAGCCTACTGACCATCAATATCGTCTGACATTAATTTGAACGATTTTAGAAACTACTTCGATCTTTCCCCACCGCCCTTTCATCTTTCCCCCTGTTTTTTCCTTTCGATAAAAACATTGTAATTGATTTTTTTTTGCTTTCGAATAAATATAACAGGTATTTATCGATATGACATAAAAATATGCTCTTTGTACTTTATTCACTATAGATATAATTTTAGCTCAAGTTAATATGTACTGTTTTACGAGACGTCAAACACAACACTGCTCATCTCATCAAAAAACCGTTCGATCTTCCCCCCACTCAGCCTATATATATGGTGGAAAGTGGTAGCCTAGTATTTATTTAATATTTAATAGTTTGTGAGAATGTTTGACTGTTTGTTACTGTTTAAAGCTTGATAAGCTTAAAACCCTAAAAGTAAAAGTACCCTGCTGAACAAAGACCTCCTTCATAGATTGCGTCGTAAAGAGGATTTGCCATAAATCCCATGCTTGGCAGGCAGGTTCGCAACCAGTTTTCTTTCTTTTTCAGTTATTATGAGGAAGATGCTGCTGCGCGCCTCCAGGTTTGGCACCCTGTAGGCGACTTCTTACGACACCCACGGGACAATATGGGGTAGTGGATATTCTGATACCACGACATCCTTGTTAATAACACATAAATGTCGAAAAAAACATACCTACAAAAATATGAATCTTTGTTTTCATGCAGATGGAGCCATGGGCTGATTAATGTAAGATAGAAAAATGAAGTCATTTTTTAAATTTAATTTTAGATAATTACTTGACTTATGGGGGTTCTAGATTAAAATTTCATTTGAACAAACTACTAGACAACTAGTTGAGGAGACAATAATGACCCTCACTTAGCGTGCAGTTTCGGTTGGTACTTTAAATTTACTTGAGAAAGTAGTTTTAAAGATCTTATCAATAACCACAGGCCCTGATTTATCCTTAGTTTATATTTATAAAATGTTTCGTTTTGCATATTATGTCCTGTGTTTTAAATAGCGCATGAAAACCGTTTTTATCAAACATAATACTGATACAATATCATTATTTCTATATACTTATTATATTTGTTTTTGTCGATACGCTTTCTGACTCTGAGCTGCTACTGAAAATTTCTCGATAGAAAAATCCAATAACTGAATTTGAACCACCAATATATGATTTTTTCTAACTCACAATCTCACGACTACAAAACAAAAGGAAATGTTGTAGGTAAGCAGGAATCAAGCTGCGCAAAAAAGTTCAGCAAACTCTTGAAGACCACTTAGTCAATCTGAATAATCACTCTTATCTTATATATATAATATCTTAATATATTATATTATAAATTTTTTTAAAGATACATTTCAATTAATTGTAAGCTGAAAGTAATACATGTGGCCCTATAATATAATTGCAACACAAATATTTAATTTGTAATAATTGCTGGCCTAGGTCTCCCCTGTAGTGCTTCAAAAGGGAGATTTTACCATAGTTGCCACGCCTGGCATACGGGTTGCAACCGCAGGTATTTTATAATTTTGAGTTGTTATCAGGTAGATGCTGCTGCCCATCTCCTGTTTCAATTTCCCCCTGACGACACCCACGGGACATAGGGTAGTGAAATTTCTTACTTTCTTTTTCTCTAGACACCCAAGAAAATTTCATCGGCTACCAACATTCACAGAACATTATTCTGATCTCGCGGCCAAGTTGCAGCTTGTGACCGAATCTTAGTTTGTCGTTTGAAATTTAATGACTGTCTCTTGGCGTCTTGTTTTTTGACCTATCTGTTGCCATCTCAAATAGGTTGCCTTGATTAGCCGATTATCACCTTTTTAGACTCTTTCTTTTCGTTTATGACACACCACCTACGGCACCTAAAAAGGTATCATCGGTGCATTGTCATTGCACTGGAATTATGAAACATGCGGTTTACACTTGAGTTTTAAAGCGCAAGGTTTACCTTTTTGGCTAGAAACCCTTCGTGATAATAACGTGCGACGTCCTTGGTTCACTTTTATGGCGCCCTTGAGTATTCATTTGACCATCCATATTTATTTAATAAATTTATTTTTCGTCCTGCCGGCTTCCCAGCCGAGCAAGCAACTTTGGGAAATCCTTACTAACAGGGACTCAATATAGGCTTCCAATTTAACATTGTGGCTCGATGCTGGTGGAAAGTAGAGCTTAAAAGACCTATTTCTTCTATCGACTTTCATTTGTTCCATCAATCAGGCATCTATCGTCGCCTAGCCCAAATGTTAAGGGATCTACGCAGCCCTTACGTCCCTTACCTGCGATCTTTAGAAGAAACGATTGGTTGCTTCCCCATCTTGGCTGGCATAGAACACCGCTGATTCGCTTGAAATGTAGCAAAATTAACCCAGAAACACAAATTTTAAGCTTTTGAATATGTGTTGTTTAATTTTTCGCAGTGTGTAAGGCTACAAACTCACAGCGCAATATCTACTTATGCTAGCATTGCTAAAGGAACTGCGATTTTATTTCAAAACTCACAAGACCGCAGTTTTGTGTGGATTTCTGTCCGCCCCAGAGGCGGTAACTTGGCGGGAGATGACCACAAGTCTGGCGGGCGCAAGACTTGATTGCCAGCAAAGATGACACCGCTAATACGCGCCCGTGTCTCGTACTATACAGCGGCAGCCGCAAACAAGCAACAATCGCGTCGAGAAATTTATAATTGTCATATATCTACATTTCTTATATTCTCCCCGTGTTATGGTCTCTCTACTGGTCTACTGCTGCAAACTCCAATATTATTATTTTTTATTTTTCATACATGCAGGATGTTTTCTTTTACGGTTAAGAATGTGTTGTTAAATCGGCACAGAAAATTGCAATTAACAATTTTTGGTGCCAGTGGCAATCAAATCCAGGTCGCTAGCGTACAGCACTTTGTCCCTGGTTTACTATGGCCCATACCATGAAAAAATAGTACCTACATATTTTGTAAATTACATATCTGTTTACAATGTGTATATTTAATTTTTTGTTTCAGTATACTCCATGTTTGGATTTTCTGAATATATTGTTGTATTCAGCAATATAGCATTCCATATGACAACTGTTTATGATTTGAAGAGGCGTAATGTTTGTATTAGTACAAGGGGAATTGCAGTAGAATAGTAAGTGGTGATAATGTGGCAGGCCAAAAATCTTTGAAATTAGTACATCTTATGAGCAAGCTTTATTTAGGTAACTATACTGTTACATTTTGACTGCGTCTGTCTTTCAGTTTAGGTATTATGGTTATAAAATATATTGTACTTTTACTTACTATTATCAGCTATCAATATATGCTATGCTATCCTAATGAAATGAGCCATGTAATGAAGCTTTGCTCGTTTTATTATTCTATTCAAGATTTCTAAATATAATCATTTTAAGCCAGAAAAGTTTCACTAGCACCGTGATTTTGTTTTATAAAAGCGCAATAGATTTTTAATTATTTAAACAAATAAGTCTTCCTTTATACAAAGACTTAGTGTGCATGTAGTTAAATTGTAATAATATTGTATAAAAATGAATTATTATTGTTATTAATAGTATAGATGTATACAATTTTGTGATGTTATTTTTTAAATTATTCTAGATAAGAAATAAAAATATAGGAGGTAAAAAGAAAAAACTTATTTTATTGCATATTATATAAGTTTCGATAACAAAAATATCAACAATATTTTCACAAAATACTATTACTGTAAGCAATTCATAAATTTAACAAGGTTATTTAATAACGCCAATTATAAATGTATATAAAAAATATTCGAGATATAACAATAACTATGTTTATTCAAACAAATTATAAAAAAGCGTTAGCCTAGCATAATATAAAAGTTTACATTTTATTTTAATATTGTTAAATAGTTGTAGCACGAATGAGTCGGCTCGACTTGGGAAGGATCACGTTCTCACAGAATACCAGCATAAAATAGCAGCTTAAGGGTGCTGTGTTTCGTGTGGTGAGTGTAGAGAACCGGAGACCCTTTTTACTGGAAACGAGGCATTCCATCTTAGTCCTCACGATTGACAACGCATCTGCATTTGATTCGTAATCGAGGGTAGATGTAGATGTCTATGGGCACAATCAACACAATCCGTCAAATTGGCAATCATAGCGACACTTCTGATGCTACTCCCCGTCACCTGCCTGAGTAAACATTTGTCAGAAGCCATAAGATTTTCTGGCATAATTTATAGTTGCTTACAATATTGACAGTACGAAATGGGGTGATGCAATCTCTTACGCCGCCAGCCCATGGTAAAACAAGAAAGGGTTCAACTTGTTGTCACTCATATATTATAGGTTACATTTTATGTTTTACATATTATACATTTTACAAATGTTATAATGTCACAAACATGTGTGTTTATTGTTTTAGATTAGATTTTTGACGATTAACCCTTAATATTTAATATTGCAACATAAGGTTTTCCCCTCAGTCTCGTCAATAGCCAAAAATAAATTATTGAAATTAAATGTCAATATTTTCTTATAATATGAAAATATGGTGATATGGTATAATATATTTAAATATTTATAAAATTATAGAAAAAAAGTTATAAACATAGTTTTCACAGTTTCATTTATAAGCTAAAAATCTGATAGAAAGAAGGCTGTAATGATGATAATGATGATGATGATATGTACCATACAATATGAAAATACATAATAATAGAAGTACTTTATACCTACTGAATTATATTGTAAGAACTATGTGCATGTAATATAATAATGATTAGCAATAAAATGACTACCCTATGGTAATATATAACATGATTAGAGTATATGGGTAAGTTACTGAAACAGTTTAAGAATTGTTTAACATTATTTGTCATTCATTAAAAATGGTCAACCACAATATAAAATGCTCAAAATAAACTTGAAGTAACTCATCAAAAGACATAATTAAAAATCAGTTAAATATCATTAGATGAAGACAATTACTATTATAATAATTTAATGGTCATTCCGCTTTTCATTTTCTTAAATTATGCAACAGTAACAATAAATAGTGTGTTATATTATTTTCCACATAATAATTCATAATTAAAAATATATAAACAGCCTATAAAATTATCATCTGATTTGCTTGTAATCTATATGCCACCACTTAAAAAATAAAAACCAATAGCTCTATTATATTATTCTCTACATAATAATTCATAATTAAAAATATATAAACAGACTATAAAATTATCATCTAATTGGACTTAGAAAGTGAAAGAACCTATATTCTAGCAATAAATCTTGTAAACCTGTTGACTGATTTCAGAGATATTCCATAACATATGCATTAAAAAAAGGAAATGCATTTGAATCTACAAACTCCCCTTTGTTAAAGGCTATCTAATAGATTTTAACATCATAAATATTTATCTACTACAGTTTGAACTCTTGTTCCATTTTGTCCACTATCATTTTTGCTATTGCGAGAGATGAGGTCGCTCCTGGAGATGGCGCATTCCTACAGTGCAACACTCGACTTCCAATAGCACCAGATCCCGGTTTAGAATCGAAGACAAAATCTTCAATCAATGTGCCTGAAATTGATAAAAATTTTAAGACATGAAATAAATAATTATTACATTATATCAACAGTCTTTCGAATCTGCTCCAGGGGTGATACTATTGTACATCTTGTGATCTATCACTTGGTCATAATGTTGGGTTTAGCAGTATTGAACGGGTGTTCTGCCATCAGTCATTTACAAAAATACCTATTCCGTCAATAACAGATATCGCTGCAATGGAAAAATGTAGGTTATGCCATTCCCCATATCCTATTTATTACTTATATACAAGTTGTAACAGCCTATTTCACCCCCTCAGTGGTAGATTTTTCCAGAATCCTTTCTTAGTGGTTGTCTAAATCGAGAAAGGAGTATGCCATATTTCAAGTCAATCAGGTATATAGTTTTGGAAATCTCGTGATGAATGTCAGTGATATTTACAACCAAAAAGGGTAGTCGTGCCGATCCCTGTAATTGTCGACCAATAGTCATTAGCTCCATACTCTGTAAAGTTATGGAAAGGTTATTGAACAGTAAGTTGCTCACATGTGGCTTCCGCCGAGGACGTTCCACTGGAGATCTTAGTGTATGTCACGCACTTTTGAGGCGAGGCCATCGAGAAGAACGGTGAAGCTCTAGCAGTTTCACTCGATATCTCGAAGACTTGACAGGGTTTGGCACGCAATTCTGCTAAGTTCCTGCTTACGGTACCCTCGCCTAATTTTATAACTGGAGGATATCTGACTTTCTGAGTTAACGGTTGATCAGGGTAGTCATAGATGGCTGCTCTTCTGACCTAATGCATATTAATGAGTTCGTCATGGGTCTGTACTCCCTGCGACTTTTTTCCTGCGGCACATCAATGCCCTACTTCTACCAGGTATTGTTAGGTATGCAGATGACAGCACATTCACAGAGAGATTCATGTCCAGTGCAAAAGATGGAGAAGCAGTAATACGTTGGCTCAAAAGGCCATGGTGGAGCGGATAAATGCGACCTTAAGTCTTGTCTCCCAATGGGGTGATGACAATCTGGTCACTTTCAACGCCGCCATAACGCAGGCCTGACTGTTCTTCACAAAACGGAGTCCGTTTGATCTGACTCCTACTTTTCGAGGTACATCTGTAGAGGTTACTAATCATCTCGAGCATACAGTTGAGTGTTAACCTCAACTTTGGCGCTGACATTGAGTCGAAAGCACAAACTGCGGCCAAATAACCGGATATTTCAAAACAAGGTGAAACGATAGTTCATGCCTGGACAGCTTCAAACTTTATACATTGCTCAAGTTCGAACATGCATGGAGTATTGTAGTCACCTTTAGGATGGCACAGCAAATTATCAACTTGCCGCACTCGGCTCAATGCAATGCAGAGCCAAGAGGCTTATCGGCGACAAAAAGCAGGTTGAAATAAGCTTCACAACTTAGCTCACCGCCGCAAAGTTGCTTCATTGTCGGTCTTCTACAGATTGTACTTTGGAGAGTATGCCTATGAGGTTTATAAACTCATACCGCCATCTCCATTCTTCTATCGGAGTACCAGATGTATTGCAGGTTTCACACTTGGTTGATATTCCGAATATTCGCACTAAGCGTTATAAGTCATTTTTCATAATGCGCACAGCCAAGGAGTGGCATACCCAACCGGCGTCTGTTTTTCTGAGTGCATATAACCTTAACCTCTTCAAGCTGCGTGTTGACAGGCTTCTCCTGGGTAAACTCGTTTGTTTGTTTCCTCTTGTAACTTTGTCACGAAGCACGGTCAATATACGGCCGATGCATTTTCATTTCATGACCTAATCTTTCTATCTTATAAAACTCGATCTCCCAAATTTAAACCAAAAATGTTACTGCAGCGTAATTTTGGTGGCATGGATATAGATAGACTTCGTAAGGATGCGTTGCTTTGGGACTGGTCAAGTCTTTATAGCGCAGATAATCTGGATAATAAGGTCTCAATCTTTCCTTCTGCCCTTATAAAAATCTTTGATGTGCATGCACCTGCACGCTTAGTCAAAATTAAACATCGTCTATCACCTTGGCTTACTGATGATATTAAATCTATAATCAATAAAAAAGCGATAGCTAAGGCTAAGTTTAAACGTAAGCCGAATGCGTTTAATAGGGAAAAATATATTAACATTCGCAATCACTGCAATAAGGTGTGTAGGGATGCTCAACGCCTTCATATTCATAAGTCAGTGAAAAATTGTGATACGGCAAAGGTCTGGAAATTTCTCAAATCATTGGGTGTTGGGAAATCTAAGAATAATCCAACGACAAAAGATTTAAACGTTAATGGTTTAAATAAACATTTTTCTTCCTAGTCCTGTTTAGATAACACTACTAAGGCTAATACACTAACATATCTTTCAACTATTCCCACTCCCAATCATTCTTCTTTTGTTTTCAAACCATTCTCTGCTTGTGACGTTAAGAAGAGCGTTCTATCTATTACTTCCAATGCAGTGGGAAGTGACTGTGTCAGTCGTAACATGATTCTTCCCATTCTCGATATTATTCTTCCTATTATTTGTCATATCCTTAACTTCTCCATTTCTACAAGTAGTTTTCCATCATCTTGGAAAAATGCTGAAATTATTCCTATTCCAAAGAAAAGTAATCCTACATCCTTTTCTGAATATCGTCCTATCTCTTTACTGCCCTTCTTATCTAAAGTCCTTGAACGCCTTGTTTACACCCAGTTCAACAGTTTTCTTTGTGCGAATGCTCTTCGTAATCCTTTACAGTCAGGATTTCGACCTGGACACAGTACTACCACAGCATTGGTGAACATCACCGATGATATCCGATTAGGAATGGAAAACGGTGAAGTGACTGTTCTTTGTTTATTAGATTTCAGTAATGCTTTTAATACCGTTGACCATGATGTCCTACTCGGCATAATGCGCTCTCTTAACGTATCTCCAACAGCGATTGGTTGGTTTCAGAGTTACCTGTCTGGTCGCCAGCAACGTATACGTATTGACGATACATTATCATCTTGGTGTAACGTACGTGTTGGTGTACCACAGGGAGGCGTTTTATCTCCTTTGCTTTTTGCAGTTTTTATAAACTCAATATCCAATAATTTAACTTCTTCCTACCACCTTTATGCAAATGATCTACAAATATATACAAAAGCTTGTCCCAACGATCTCCCCAATGCTATCAATGTCGTTAATGCAGATCTCAATCGAATTCTTGAGTGGAGTAATGCATACGGCCTTCACGTTAACCCAGCAAAATCGCAAGCCATTATCATGGGCAGCGCGCAAATGTTGGCTAAGTCGAGCCTAGATTACCTGCCTCTAGTATTTGGTAAAACTATTATTCCTTACGCAGATTCAGTAAAGAACTTAGGTATCCACATAGATAAGAATCTGTCGTGGGGACAGCACATCAAAGAAATTAATCGCAATGTTTATGCCTCGGCAGCCTCCTTGCGTAGATTACGTAACTTTCTTCCCATTTCCACCAAAACTATGCTTGCCAAGTCCCTTCTCTTCCCTATTTTTGACTACGCAGACGTCAGCTATCTAGATCTCACCGAAGCTCACCTCGATAAACTTGAGCGAATTCAGAATTTTTGCATAAGGTTTATATTTGGACTGCGCAAATATGACCATGTATCTCTTTTTCGTACTAAGCTCAAGCGGTTGCCAATACGACTTCATCGGAATGCTCACACACTTCATCTTCTCTATAGTGTTCTCTTTAATCCTTCTTACCCTTCTTACCTCAAAAATCGTTTTGAGTTTCTTCATGATTCCCATTCGCGTAACTTGAGATCAGCAGAGAGTTTGAAGTTGAATTTGCCACTATACACTAGAAAATTAATGAACAAGTCTTTTACTGTACAGGCCGTTCATTTATGGAATGAACTCCCATTGTCAGTAAAACGCGCACCATCCCTACCGGTATTTAAAAAACTAGTTAAGAATCACTACCTCGCACTTTAAATTATAACTTCACTTCCACACTAGCCATTAAATAATATATTATATGTATCATATCAATTTCATTTAATTAATTTAATAATTCAATATATATATATATATATATATATATATATATATATATATATATATATATATATATAATTTAGAAAATTCATCCCATTTAGAAAACTCATCTTGGCTGCTTTAACATCTTTGCATAACCAAGTAGATCTTCTGGGAAGAGAGCTAGATCGTAGTGAAATGCGTCGCCGCAGGAAGATGATCCTACTCCATGGAGTTCCTGAAGAAAAATCTGAGGAAACTGCCACCGTCATAAGTACACTTATCAGCACGAAATTACAAGTGTCAGGTTTCAGTAAAACATCCATAAGCCGCTGTCATCGTTTGGGACGCCCTTCCGATAAATCTTCCAGGCCTGTGGTTGTCAAATTCAGCGATATTATGATGCGAGACAAGGTTTGGTTCTCCAAAACCAAACTTAAAGGGACAGGTATAACTCAGTCGGAGTTTCTTACAAGGAGACGCCACAGTGTTTTTCTTGAAGCTAGGCGTAGGTTTGGCGTAACCAAGTGTTGGACCAGGGATGGAGTTATAAATATTTTAACTCCTGATGGCACAAGGCACCAGCTTGAGACCTTGTCTGAGCTTGATACAATATGCAACGGGTCAATTTCTGCCACACCCGCTTATCCAATGGTGGTTGAGGCAAATAAGGCCCCCGAAGATAAAAGTGCACCACAGCGTTCTAAGAGGGTCATTTTATTAATTTTGTAATCCTTATTGTTATAACTTTACTTGTTTTTTCTTGTTTGTTTTCTATCATCATTATTTGTCATTGTTAATCGTTAATTAGATAGTAAAATGTAATGATTAATAATATCTCTTTGGAATGTTTATAATTTTTTTTTCTGTATGTTATTATTAGTATAATCTTTCATTGGAATGTTTATTATTATAAGTTTTGCAAGGTATGTAGTTAATTGGTAAGTTAACGTACTAACGTATTGTCACTTTTTGACATCTTGACTCATCTGACATTGACACCTCTCACTTTTTGTGTCTATGGT